GATTGCTCTGAATGACTTTAATAAACTATGTTAATTAAAACCTGCACTCAAGCCTTCTCAACTGTTGGTTGACAAAAGCACTGCAAATACAGTTTGAAGAGATTATATGTTTTATGTTATGGAACAATTGAACATTCAGCTATACCTCAATCATTTGAGATAGAAATGTTATAATCTAAATTGGTCTTTACAAGAGTAGATAAAATCATCTTAAAATATAGGCATTATAACATTCTTTTCTCAGGTAGTCTGATAAAGTCTAGCCTATGACTTATAAAGCAGACCAAGTAACAGTAACATTCATCTTAGATTATGTTTCTATTGCTTGATATAGGAGTATGGAAACAATTTCCAAGCTGGAATAAGTTACAGTGAAGTAATTACTTCATCATAACAAAGATGAAATAATAACAGAGGCATTGTTAGGGTGTCACTTAAAGCAATTTATAATTCAAATGTATAAACTGACCGGTAGAATAAGGATGCACAGATGACTTGCTTATTTTTATATTTACTTTCTGTTTCTAAATAGTTGATTTCAATTAATAATCGAAAAGCAAACACAGTAAATGTGTTCAGCTTTACAGAGTTAATTGAGATATTACAGCAATACTCGAGCATTCTATTCACAGTTTATAATGGTTTGGTGTACTTGAACCTAGTGTGTGTACTATTTTCTAGTTTCTTCAATTTTTAATTTATAATATTGGGAAAAGTTTTTGGATCATCAAGTTAAAACCCAGAATCTAGTAGGATTAGAATCTGACTTATAACACATTGTTACAATTTCTATGTGAATAGGAATACAATAGAACAGGATAAGTTATTTTTTTGAGCAGAGGCATAAAGATTAAAATTAAAGGGTGGACCTGGTGGTACCCGGTACCCCAGAGCGGGGGCAAGTCCCACCCTGTTCTGGGACCACCAACCAAGAACTACCAAACCAGTGGAAAGTTAAGAGTAGTCCCTGGACCTTCTGAGCACAAAAAGGGGTAAACTCCCCCCAAACCCCCGCTCCCAATCTGAGATTATTAGAATAGTTGTCAGATCACATGAGAGATCAAACCTAAGAGAATGAGAAGTTATGAGACTCTAATTTACAGATAAATATAGTAGAAATAATGAGTAGATTGAAGAAGTTCATCAAATTTCTTTTTTCTCACCGTTATGTGAGTGCTGGTGATTAAACCCCATTGTATCTATTTTCCAAAGTAGTAGCCTGTCTTGTACACTTGGTGAGGTTCTGTCCATGTTCCCCTGAGACTTGACTCCTTTAATAGTGGCTGATGATTTTCTGAAAGTAACATGGCATTTCTCAATACTTAGGTTTTCTCTTTATAAAGGCTATGGTTGTCTTTATCTAAGTATTGTAGATATTGTGCAGTTATTCCTGATCTTAATGTTACATTTTATTGTGACATTTCAAACATATATTTATCTGTTTGTCAGCCACATATGTCAACATTATGAAGATTATTATTTTAAAGTAAATTATTTTAAAGTAAATTCTAGACAGTAAGCCCTCTATTAAGTATGGACATTTTAATACAGAGACAAAATACTCTTCTCACGTCAAAAAAATTAGTGCTAGCTTTAATAACTGATAACATTTAGCAACTCATTCTCATCTGTCTTCAATTATCAATAGAATGCCATTTCATTATTTGCTATGTGAATAGAGATCCAAATTAAGATTTATTCTTTGTAATAGAGTTTCAAATCTTTTTTAAATTCTCCCTTACTCTGTTTAACTCTGTATAACACTTTTAAAATTTATGTTTCCCTATCCCCAACCCCACTTAAGAAGTCAAGATTATTCAGCTGTAGAGTGTCCCACTGTACAGACTGTCCAGAATATTAAATTCCTAATTGTGCTATTTCTAGTATTTCTCAATTTTCTGCTCCAAAATTATTTATATATGTTAGATTTGACTTGGTTCCTTTTTTTTTCTTTTTGGGTCACAGTTGGCTTTGTGTAGGGGTTATTCGTGGCTCATGCATTCAGGAATTACTCCTGGTGATGTTCGGAGGACCATATGGGATTCTGGGAATCGAACCCCAGGCCAGCCATGTGGAAGGCAAATGACCTACTTGCTGTGCTGTCACTCCAGCCCCTTGGTTCAAATTTTTTTGGCAAGAACACTGCTGGAACTTTATAAATGTACCTTGTAAGCGTATCAAATAGAACTTATTATATGGTGACAGCTCTATTGATAATTCTGAGATTGATCAATAGTTTCAGATGGGGACATCCCATCTCTTCATCATGAAAGTACTCCACTAACTTGTCTACCGAGGATTTCATCTAGTGATGTGCATTTTAAAAAACTTTTCATTAACTTGTGGTTGCATTACCATATGATTTACAATAGTTCCTTGTGTTGTGCTCAACAACTAAGAAACTGTGTTTCTATTTCTCAGACCAAGTCTCCTTGCTGACAATAAAGGTGGCAATAAAGTATAGACAACTTGCTGTAATTAAGAGCAAAGGCTGATCTAGAAAGATGTACTTTCTGTCTTTATAGTACTGCATTTTGATTATAAAATTTCTTTTTTTTAATTATCAAATCTCTTGATGGATCCCTCTTTCCTGTGTCTAAGAGGATTAATGAAATGCATTATCATAACTAATATGAGTTTATGCTACCATATAAGAAGTGAACTATACTCATGAACTTTTCACTATTCTGAGAGTTATACGGAGTTTTGTTTCTTTTTTTAAAATCTCCCTCTTTCATATTTAACCCACTTCAATGGTCTCATTGGTATCAAGTAAACTTAAGCCTAATTTTCTTCACCAAGCAAACATTTTAGCAAAAATTATCTTTGTTCATTTCTGTCAAATAATCTTGTATCCAGAGATCGTAAACAGTTTTATGGAATGGCTATAATCTCAAATTATTATTTAACAAACAAACTATAGATTTTTTTCTGAGAGTACTATGCTTCCTGAGTCATTTTTCTGGACATGATTACCCTCATTCTTCATTAAGATGATTTTGGTACTTTCTTTGTATTAAAAATTTTAAACTGACTTGTTTATTACCATGAAACAAGCTAGATTTGATTTGGATTATATCAAATTTATAAATTTTAGGAGCATCACCCACTTTTCAATATTTAGTTTTCAAAATAAGTATAAGATCCTACTTCTTTGAGAATGATTTACATATGTACTAATTTGTCAATAATTTTTAATAATTTTCTCAATAGAAATCTCACATAAGTATTACTGAAGCAAGTTCACAGTATTTTATGACTTTTACTATAATTAAAAATGTAATTATATTATTGTTTGTATATATGTTTCTTCTCTTACGTATATATATCTTTTTAGATATTTTACATATATAGTATAAGTGATAGCTATATTTTTAACATTTTTTCCTTGGATTTTTCAGTGCAATGTTTATATTTTTGGCTAAGCATTGCTTTTTCTCCTCATGATGTCAGGCAGAATGCTTTTATAGTACTTAATTATTTGATATAAGATTTCCTATAGGTTTAGTAATTTATACTTTCTGACACTTGTTTTATTCAAGATTAATGAATAAATTTGATACCTTCCTTCTCTGAAACTTTTAGGCAATCATAAGTTTCTACCATTTATTCTATAAAATTATTATATACAAAATTACACATATTTAGAATTCTAAATGTGATATCATATGTTCAAAGAAACGATAATCTTGGTCATAATATGTCAAAGTTTTATATATTGTATATAGAGGTAACTAATATATTTAGTATTATACGCTTATGGGCTGGAACGATAGCACAGTGGTAGGGAGTTTGCCTTGCAGGCAGCCAACATAGCCAAACCGAGTTCGATTCCTCCGCCGCTCTGGGAGAGCCCAGCAAGCTACCGAGAGTATCTCGACTGCATGGCAGAGACTGGCAAGCTCCCCATGACGTATTTGATATGCCAGACACAGTAACAACAAAGTCTCCAATGGAGACATTACTGGGCCCACTCGAGCAAATCGACGAACAACGGGAGGGACTTTACCGTTTTTATATGCTAATGAAAAACAGATCTTTTAATTTTTTCTTTTTATACTACTGTCTATCTTCAAATTATTAGGATCTCATAATGAGTTCTTTATTATTACCACTTTATAACTGTGGAATTAGCTACTTTTCATTATATTTCTTTGAAATTCATACATTGTTATGCTATCAGGCTTCTTATAGTATTCAGAGTTGCAGTGTATTTTTTTCCTGATAAAATGAATTTTGTATCATGAAATATGTACTTTAAAGTGAGATTTTACTTAGAATATAAGTTTTTCAATAATCATATATTTTTGTCATATTATATGTAATCTAACTAGTCAGCCAGGCAACGGAAAATAAGATCTGGAAAACAGAAGATCTAACACCATAAGCACCCCACACCCAACTTGCAGGAAGCAAAGGGTGGGAAAAGTCAGATCCCACAGGCGACTGCACTTATATGTAAACCCTGTATGTTGCCGAGTGTGATCCGACCACTCCCCACCCAAAAAAAGAGACAAAACTCATCATCCAAACCCAAGGAGAACAAAAGATATGCAATTACTTTTAATGGTTTAAAGCTTACCGTATGAAAACTAACGATTTTCACCAGTAGCAGAATCATTAAAATAAGTTCAATTCTCTGGTATAAAAAAATGCGTAGGACACGGGGCAATCTATAATAGATATTGTGATGGCAGAGATCCTAACATGTTTTGGTGAAATTTACAGTGGACTTTAAAATGTAAAGAACCTTCTTACTTACAATTTAAATAAAAATTGCGATCCAGTTCTTCTGGCAAAGTATAATCATGCAAAGTATCATTTTAAAAAAATGTGTCTGTGCCTTTAGGGCAGATGGGAAAAATCAGATCGGGGAACTTCAGCTCTTTGACCTATTTCCCCCCACAAGAGCACCATGTCACGAGTCAGCCAGGCCATGGGAAAGAAGACACGGCCCACAGAAGACCTAACACGCTAAGCACCACACACCCAACTTGCAGGAAGCCAAGGGCGGGAAAACTCAGATCCCGCAGGCGGCTGCACCTCTGGGCCAGGCAGCATCGCTGGTCTGTTGGAAGTTCCTTGAATCCACGGTCCTTGGGGGTCTAGGCTCTCCTCCCACTTCAGAATCAACAACCACCTGGCACCCTCTTGCAGGGACCAAAGGACGGAAAACTCGGGACCTAGCACCAACACTGGCTGCTGGGAGTGACTTTGGCTGATTGTGGCTCTCCTCCAGAACCTGGCGCTCGTTCTGGAAGGCCAAGACCTGGGAGGAGGCAGCAGCACCACTTCCTGTGCCACGTGGCCAGTACAAAGACCACCCTCCTCACAGGACAACTCAGATTGATGGGTTAGGAGCCGGGCAGGGACTGACAGCAGGCTGAGCAGAGCAACTGCACATGCGGGCCCCAACCCCTCCTCCTGTCCCAGCCCATTGTGCCCTGTCCATGACAGCACAGTGCGGGCCACGCCCCGACCTGGTGCCTAGGAGAGGCAGGGGCTGCCTAGGCTTCATTTGGCCTGCAGCTGAGCTTCAGGCCAGAGGCTTCAATATGCCTAGTGACAGTTCGTCGTCTGACATTGAGTGCCAGGGCTGCACGTGTTGCCCCTGGAAGTGTCAGTGGTCTGCCCAGCAGCGGGAGGTGGTGTTGCAGCACTTGCGAGTCTTCTTCCTCGTGACCCTCATTTTTGGCATGGCCACCTCGACGCTGGGGCTAGCTGGGGTGTGGACCTCGCAGATCTACTTGTACGCGCTGATGTACCTGGTGGCCTGCTGCTACTTTGTCAGCTTAATCTGGTTTATTTGCACGTTGAGACGCCAGTTGCGGCGGGCGGTTGATGATGTGGAGTCTGCCTCGGCTCTGGCAGCGCCGGCCACTGACCCCGCTGCGGCCAAGGCCTCCGGCTCCCCTGACCCGCCCAACAACGCGTCTTCCAACGGGGCGGGCCTCTGCGACACCAGGGGCCACTCCTGGCCGACCAGCAGGGTCGCAGCTGCGTCACCGTCACACTGATGGGCAGCGACTCCAGTCGTCTCATCCTGGACCTCCCCTCCACCTCGCCTCCCAGCGGGGAAACGGGCGGCACGTCTCGCCTCCTCCTGCTAGGCCGGGGCGTGGCTTCCTAGATTACGGAGACTCTACCCACGAACTGGACCAGGGTGGCCGGCCAGCGACGGGACTGGGCCCCGCACGCCTCTCTCAAGCAGGTTCCCAGACCCCAACGGCCAGCAGTGGTTCACCCTGAAGTCGATCAGCAGGCCCACGCCGACCACTGCCGGCCTCCCTCCTGGCATCCTGCGTGGACACAGCCGCTGCTCGCCCGGGCTCCCCCAGCTGCTCACCGGCCCAGCCTTGCACTCTGCCGCGAGATACCCACCCCGACCGCCCCTCCAAGGCCACCCTGACGCTGTCCAGTGTCCAGCCCTGGACTGCTCTGCCGGCTCCCGCGTGGTGGGGCCCGCTTCTCTGCAGCTCACACCGACACCACCGTGTCTGGCCCACCTACATCGCTGTGCCAGACCACTGGGGACCACGTGGACGGACGCCCCAGTCATCCACCACACCACAGATCCTGCGCGGTAGGCAAGATCCTTGTGCAGCCCAACACCCTGGTCCACCCGCCCCACTTGTCCCAGGACAATTACATTAAAGTGTGTTTCTATGAATTTGGAACCAGGCTAAAGAAACGCTGTTTTACAAACTAATTGTGATAGGGACAGTGTTTTGAGGACTGGATCTCAGGCACAGTGTTCATTAAAAGTCGATGTCATTGCTTTAAATGCTGGATTAATATTCTCCCTATTATTTCATTTCTTCCTCTTGACTGCAATATGACTGAACTTTAGGTGATGAACATGATGTAACACAGGACGATGCTGCTATGTTTGTACCCCAAAGCCTTTCATCGGAGCTGGAGCTAGGTCGTATTGCAGGTAGGCATTTGCCTGGCACGCAGCTGACCCGGGTTTGATTCCCAGCATCCCCTGGGGTTCCTTGAGAACTGCCAGGAGAAATTCCTGAGTGCAAAGCCAGGAATAACCCCTGTATGTTGGCGAGTGGGATCCGATCCCCCCCCCCCAAATAAGAGCCAAAACCCATCATCTAAACCCAAGGAGAACAAAAGATATACAATTACTTTTAAAGTTTTAAAGCCTGCCGTGTGAAGACTAACGATTTTCACCCAGTAGCAGAATCATTGAAATAACTTCAATTCTCTGGTATAAATAAATGCGTAGGACACAGGGCAATCTATAATAGAAATTGTGATGGCTGAGATCCTACCATGTTTTGGTGAAATTGACAGTGGACTTTAAAATGTAAAGGACCTTCTTATTTACAATTTAAAAAAATTGTGATCCAGTTCTTCTGGCAAAGTGTAATCTTGCAAAGGATTATTTAAAAAAAAAAAACTGTGTCTGTGTCTTTGGGGCAGATCAGGGAGCTCCAGGGTGCTGAGAATCCAACTTGTATCAAGCCACGTGATTTAACCTCATGTGGTATCTTGCCTGCCCCTTGTGGCTGTTTTTAGTTTTTGTTTGTTCGGTAGCCACACCAGAAGAGCTGAGGGTTTACTCCCAGCTTTGCATCAGGGACCCGTCCTGGGCGTGCTTGGGGGACCATAGGCAGTGCCTATGTGTGTCGAACTTGGTTCGGCCACATGCAAGGCAACTTCCCTGCCCTCTGTACTATCACCACAGCCCATTTTGGCTTTTGAAATCAGTTTTACACCTGTGAGCCAACAAAGGCCAGCAGCAACACTCCATACCCAAACAAAACGGTAGTAAGAAAGAAAGGAAGAAAAAAAGAAAGAAAGAAAGAAAGAAAGAAAGAAAGAAAGAAAGAAAATGCCAGGTTGAAAACCCATAGAGAGAATACACATCCAGGCTTGCTATTGACTAGCTCAAGGAATGATCTTTGCCCATACACCCTGCTTATGGGTCACACCTTTGTGACTGGGGTTGGGGTGAGAGGGTGGGGGATGCCCCTGGCATTGCCAGAGATCAATCCTGGCGCTGCGTCACACAACGCAAGTGCTCCAGCTCTTTGACCTATTTCCCCCCACAAGAGCACCATGTCACGAGTCAGCCAGGCCATGGGAAATAAGACCAGGCCCACAGAAGACCTAACTCCCTAAGCACCCCACACCCAACTTGCAGGAAGCCCAGGGTGGGAAAACTCAGATCCCACAGGCGACTGCACCTCTGGGCGAGGCAGCACCGCCGGTCTGTTGGAAGTTCCTTGAATCCACGGTCCTTGGGGATCTAGGCTCTCCTCCCACCTCAGAATCCACAGCCACCTGGCACCCACTTGCAGGGACCAAAGGACGGAAAACTCGGGACCTAGCACCAACACTGGCTGCTGGGAGTGCCTTTGGCTGACTTTGGCTCTCCTCCAGAACCTCGCGCTGGCTCTGGAAGGCCCAGACCTGGGAGGAGGCAGCAGCACCACTTCCTGTGCCACGTGGCCAGGACACAGACCACCCTCCTCACAGGACAACTGAGATTGGTGGGTTAGGGGCTGGGCAGGGACTGAGAACAGGCTGAGCAGAGCAACTGCACATGCGGGCCCCAACCCCTCCTGCTGTCGCAGCCCATTGTCCCCTGTACATGACAGCACAGTGCGGGCCACGCCCCGACGTGGTGCCTAGGAGAGGCAGGGGCTGCCTAGGCTTCATTTGGCCTGTAGCTGAGCTTCAGGTCAGAGGCTTCAATACGCCTAGTGACAGTTCGTCGTCATCTGACATGGAGTCCCAGGGCAGCACACGCTGGCCCTGGAAGCGGCAGTGGTCTGCCTGGCAGCGGGAGGCGGTGTTGCGGCGCTTGCGCGTCTTGTACGGCGTGACCGTGGTCTTCGGCACGGCCAGCTCGTCGCTGGGGCTAGCTGGGGTGTGGACCTCGCAGACCTACTGGTACGCGCTGATGTACCTGGTGGCCGGCTCTACTTTGGGGGCCTAATCTGGTGGGTTTGCGCGTTGAGAGGCCAGATGCAGCGGGCGGTTGATGATGTGGAGCCTCCCTCGGCTCTGGCAGGCCAGGCTGATGCCGCTGCTGCGGCCGAGGCCTCGGGCTCCCGTGACCCGCCCGCCAAGGCGTCTTCCGACTTGGCGGGCCTCTGTGACACCCGGGGCCACTCGCTGGCCGACCAGCAGGGGAGCCGCAGCGTCACCATCACCCTGATGCTCAGCGACCCCAGTCGTCTCATCCTGGACCTCCCCTCCACCTCGCCTCCCAGCGGGTAACGGGCGGTATGTCTCGGCTCCTCGTGCTGAGCCGGTGCGTGCCTTCCTAGATTATGGAGCCTCTGCCCACGCACCACATCAGTGTGGCCGGCCAGCGATGGGACTGGTCCCTGCAGGTCTCTCTCAAGCAGGTTCCCAGACCCCAACGGCCATCAGTGGTTCACTGTGCAGTCGATCAGCAGGCCCACACCGCCCACTGCTGGCCGTCAGCCCCTTTTAGCTTTTGAAATCAGTTTTACACCTGTGAGCCCAAAACCCCAGCAACAACTCTCCCAACCCTAACAAAACGGTTGAAGTAACGAACGAAAGAAAGACGGATAGAAATAAAGAAGAATAAAAAGATAGGAAGAAGTCAGGTTGAAAACCCATAGAGAGAATGCACAGCCAGGATTGCTATTGACTTGCTCAAGGAGTGATCTTTGCCCATACACCCTGCTAATGGGTCACACCTTTGTGACTGGGGTTGGCGTGAGAGGGTCAAGCATGACCCTGGCATTGCCAGAGATCAAACCTGGAGCTACGTCACACTATGCAAGTGCTTTAGCTCTTTGACCTATTTCCCCCCACAAGAGCACAATGTCACGAGTCAGCCAGGCCATGGGAAATAATATCCGGCCCACAGAAGACCTAATACCATGCCCTCCTGGCATCCTGCGTGTGCACAGCCGCTGCTCTTTTGGGCTCCCCCAGCTGCTCACTGGCCCATCCTTGCACTCTGCTCCGAGATACCCACCCTGACCGCCCCTCCAGGGCCACCCTCCTGCTGTCCAGAGTTCAGCCCTGGCCTGGTCTGCCGGCTCCCGCGCGGTGGGGCCCGCTTCTCTGCAGCCTCACCCCGACACCACTGTGTCTGGTCCACCTACATCGCTGTTCCAGACCGCTGGGGACCACGTGGACGGACGCCCCTGTCATCCACCACAGATCCTGCGCGGTAGGCAAGATCCTTGTGCAGCCCAACACCCTGGTCCACCAGCCCCAC